GTGATGGTAATTGACCACACGTTTATTTTGAAAAGGAACCTAAGAAGTCATTTGAAGATTCCTAGATGGACGAAATAATGCTGTGGTGCTGTGGCTAGCGCTGTGAACATCGTGAACAGCATTGAATCACTGACATTTGAACATTATACCCAGTCATTATCACACTCAGGCTCTTCTATAATACTATCATGGTTAAATAATACAAGCTATATATATATTTTGACATTATTAGGCGATGCTGTGGTCACACGTTGAACAGCAGTGCTGTGCGCTCATGCTGCGAGCACCAGCCTTGGTTGCTCACTCACTACTGAGACTCCCACACCCGGGAATGTGGACCACGATTTTTTTTAAAGATGGCGTCTGTTTACAAGAGCCCTGAGGAAGCTGATGTGAACCCCATGTAGCCGCGGGAGTTTTGAATGAAACGCGAAAAATAAAAATACCTGGAGGCGCGTTGCGCAAACCAGACGTGGGCCAGCAGGCGCGTTGCGCAGTTTAAGAGTTAACCTATTAGATGCCAGACATAGAATGCTTCCAACCACATGGGGGTTTCTATAGGCCATTGCTCCTCGTGCCTCTCTGATGGGGGGGCAGGATCTGGCTTGTGGACCCTGGTAGGATAGAACTCCATCAAATTGACTGATCCGTCATAGTGGCCCCCTCGAGCCACTAGGGGTCCACATGGCTTCAAAACCCACAGGCGTAACAAACAAAAAATCAAAAAAATTTATTTTTATTTTTAATTATCGTAAATTGGTCTCGAGACATATATTTGCCGAACATCGGTGTTGGAACAGTATGGTCTTTGCTCCAATAATGGTCGATTACGTGTTTGACACAATGTTTCATGAACATACACAGTGCCAAAAACACATACATTTCACATACAGTCGTATCTTTCCATCGTTGCAAATGTGAATAGTTGGATAACTCCTCCTCATCAATGAGATCAGTCGCATATTTGTTTGTTTCATGAACAATATATTCCATAAGCGGCTCATCAAAATATGCGGTAAAGTAGTCCATTTCACACATATCGGGACCTGTATCAGGGAAAACGTCTGTAATCCCAACATCCGAATTATTAAAGACAGGAATTTGCGGAACAAAATCTGTCCCATCACTCCACACAAAAACACCTGGTGTCTTTCGAGAGCCATTAGCGGCACCACGGCGAGGAAACCATGGACCAGGAGCTGAAGCAGGTCTAGGAACAGTAGGGGGTGGGCAGGGACGGTGACGGAAAATTACTCGATGTTGAGGGTCTTTGTTCATGTGGTGCCACGCGGTGCCGCATGGCTTGGCCAAATGCTGCTGACGCAACAAATTGCCACTTGGCAACACCACACACTCCACTAGCACTAGCAACACCGAAACTATTTTCCAATTCTAAGTCACTAAAACCGGAAAATGATTCACCTTCTTCAGACTCGTCGACCAAAACATCAATATCTTGCAAGGTAGCACATGAACTGTGTGGTCTGGCACAAAGTGGAGTCAAGTGAGGGCGAGGAGGCAAGGGCGAGATGCTAGGCCTAGCCTTTGTGGAGCCAGCATGTTCATTCTCATCGTCAGTCATATCTACATCTGTGGGTTGTGTGTAGTCATGATCAATGTCGGAATTGTCAATATCTGATTCATCACCATCCGGGAACAAATTCTTATTAATTTCCTCTTCGTTCAGAAGTTGCGATGAACGCCTCGTTGAGCGGGGTCGGTTGTTGGTACTTGAAGCGCTCGCCATGGTGTCCGCCAGGTAACTGAGGCCTGTATACAAAGGGAACCCACGCTGGATTTTTTTCCCAGACGGGGTTTGTTTATGGTCGGTTGAGGCTCGCCGATATTACCCCTATCCCATGCAGGGCATTTAAATTATAGCTCTAGACACAAAATCATATACAGTGGTTCCTTGGAATACGAGTGTCCCTGTATGCGAGTTTTTCGGAATACGAGCAGGATTTCCTCGGAAAATGTGTCTCGGAAGGCGAGGGTTACCTCGGAAGGCGAGTTTGTTGATACGCGTACAGGCCGACCTAGCGCGTGGTGGTATGGCGATCGTCGCCTCTCACCCCTCAGTTTACCAGTGCCTCGCACCCAGTGACTATCCCACGTAAATTCTTCACCCGGATTTTCAGTGTTTTGTTGGATTTTTGGTCATTTGACCATAAAAGATATTATATATCTCGCCATGAGTCCCAAGAAAGCCAGTGGTAAGGTTTAACCTAAGAAAATAGTGCTGCGTTTTGGACGATTGAATGGCAACACTGAAAAGTGTATACTCTTTTCACTGTCCTCACATTAACACTTTCGCTCGGGGATGACGCAGCATTGCGTCATCCGTTTACTGGCGGTAATGCCGGGGATGACGCAGCATTGCGTCATCCACTTTAAAAATTCGCCAAAAATCAGGTTTTTATCCGATTTTTGGGGACTGGTTTTAAAATGTGCGCCGATGTCTTCCCATTTTCTTTGTTGAGCCTCGTCGCCCTCAGGCTGCTTGGCACACGCCGTGGGCCCATTGTCTTTGCTCCACTGTTGTGACCAATGTCGCTTCCCCTCGCATCTCAAACGTGTGAACATTTCGGCTATTTTCCGTGGCTATATTTCTTACTGCGGCTTTAGAAACTATCTACGCTTACTCCACGATGGATAGTAATCATGAACAAGGCCCTTCCAGGAAGAAAATTGCGAAAGAAAGGCTTGAAAAGGGTAGGAATTGGGAGTGTAGCAGGAAGGCCTCTGAGCACTCACTCACGGCTAACACGTGGCCCGTCTTCAACTCGTCGGCGGTTGGAGCGTGACCAGGTTTTTTTTTTTATAGGCTAATGTTCCTCTAGAGAATTTTATTACGAACCCATTGAGACCAAAATGAAAGACCTAGGACAAAAATTGAGGTGACCAGAGTGAAAATAGTGAAAACATTTTATCCCGTTTGCGCGCTCCCGGGTAACTCGTTCGCACTTTCTCTGTTTGCTGCGGGTAATTAGCCGGGCTTTTGGAGTTTATATGCATTTAGTGCTGTAGAGAATTTTATTGCGAACACAATGATACCAAATTTAATCTCGTAGAAGGAGAATTGAGGTGACAAAGTTGAAGAGAGTATACACTTTTCGGAATTAACGCGCGCTTCCGTGACACTCTGGGGCCCATATCGCCCTGTCGAGGGGTGGCGCGCGGGGTGAGCGAAAGTGTTAATTTTCGATTTACGTATTTCATTTTTATACCAGTGTGTTCACAATAAAATGTTCTATAAGAACATTAGTATAAAATGTCACACAAGGATGTGTTAGACCGGCACCAAATAAAAAACTACGTCGATTACACTTGTCATGTCAACAATACAATGGTCTTACCTCGATGGTGCAATGCTACGCCATTCTCCCAAATAGGCTATGCGGCTATTAGAGAAAATGGAAATTTCATGGCGGACATTTTCAAACTATCTCAAAGTCGATCTCATAACAAATAGAGTTTATAGAAATGTTTTTTCTCGTGACTCGTGAGCGAGTCCGCTGTACGACCTCAACACAAAACGTGGTAATGCTCTTGAGCGCCGTGATAACGCTAAAGTGTTAAGAAAATGTGTTTAGTATGGGAAGAATTGCAAAGTTTTGTTGAAAAAACTCGCCCAGATAAAGCTGTAGCAGGCCGTTGCATTGACCTTTTAAATGACAATGTGATGTCTTACTACAAACAAGTGTTAAAATGTAGGGAAAAACAAGTGTCTTTAGAGAGATTCTTAGTAAGACAAGCAAGTCTTAGTGGTATGCAGGCAAAACGTGCCAGTGTGTGCACACCAGTGAAGACCTTACTGCCTGATGTCATAATGGATGGGGACTTCCCTTCCAAACAGTAACACCTCTTCTCCTCCCTCATCCTCACCATCTTCCATCTTCCAGCAAGGTAAGTAATAACTTGAACATAGTTTTGTAGGTTTATTTAGATGAATTAGGTATAAAAATTTAGTTTGATGTGGGGTTTTTGGGGTAGTCAGGAACGGATTAATTCATTTCTTATGGGGAAATTAGCTTCGGAATACGAGTTTTCGGAATACGAGCTGTCTCCAGGAACGGATTAAACTCTTAAACCGAGGTACCCCTGTATATATGATGTGCACGGTTTCGGTTTTGTCACTGTTTTGTTATCATATATATATGATTTGCGCGGTTTAAGGGTTAATAATGAAATATAAACAAAAATGGACGACACTTAAAACAATGGATATATATATTAGAGTTTAGGTTCAGGAAAGTCTTTGTAAAATACCAGTTTGGAAAAAAGAGTTGTTGATTTATGGAACAAATATAGGCATAAGCTTGCTGGATTGTTTTAAACATAAGTTAAAATTGTATATGAATGAGTTTGGGTGATTATAATTATGACCTTCCTCCTATAGACCAATATGAGCTGCCTTGCACGGGCAGTTTCATTATTCTCATCTTTTTATGTCAGGATAAATCAAGGGACACAAATGACTTGTCAAAAAGTACACGTAGAAGAAGTGTTATAAAACGGCATAAGCCCACTGAGATCTAGAATCAACATCTCAAGAAATGTAACAAGTCTACTAAAATCTTGTCTCCACCTGCCAGGTAGCTCATGTAGACAAGCCCAGTGGGAGAGGTGCTGCCAGCTGGTGGTAGCTTGGGTAGGCATCTACATAGTCCAAATGTTAGTTACCAAGATTGATTCGTTGAAAGTTGCCCATAATGATAGGCAGGAAATAGTAAAAGGCAAAAGTTTTTTTTTGTTTACCTGTCTGGAAGTGCTCCGTAACATCAGTACAGTAAAAGCTACAGGGGCTATCTGAAACATTTCCCCACTGTGTCAATGTAAAAGAGTAGTCCCGTCTAAATGTCACCAATCCAAGCCAGAATCCAAGCCGTCCCAGCGGATCTTACCATAGGCAGCAATGAAAAGATATACTGTAGTTCGAAAAATTATGATACCAAAGGGAAAATTAAATCAAAATAAAAACTTCAATTTCACCAACATACGTAATTTTTTCCCATCTCTTGCTATTGAAGTGAAAGACCCAGAGATCCTTGAAGTGGTAGAACTGTGCCTGTGTGTGCGACGTGAACTCTCCTCCAAATATCCACAACTGGCCTCCACTCTGAAAATAACAATGACACATATGAAAATATCTCAATTTAAGGAAAATGTAGAAACCAGAGACTTGAAGAAGAGAGTAAAAGGAAATTTTCCCACCCATCTGAACTTGATCAGAGCGTGTTCACGCATCATCCATGCAGCAGCCAACAGCCGGCTTAATCGTCGGCGTGGCACTAAATTGGAACGCAATTATACAATGAACTTTATTTATTTTTGCTATGCAGTATAAAATATATCCTACCTGAAAGTTACTTAAAAAAATTACCCGACAATTAACTTCGGAAATAACGACCAAGGTACAGCCCCATATAGGCCGTTAAATTGAGTGGATACATTTAGAATCTATGATGAAAACAAACCTATTTGGAATCTATGCAACCCGTTCTCGCAAATTTAATAAGTCAATATTGACTTATTAAATATGTGCATAGGTGACATACTTAACATAATAGATACCCTTAAAAAGATTCATAGAAAACACCGACCTTACCTAACCTTGTTAGTATCTTAAGATAAGCATCTTATTGCTTCGTAATTACAATTATTACCTAACCTATAATAGGTATAGGTTAAGTAATAATTGTAATTACGAAGCAATAAGATGCTTATCTTAAGATACTAACAAGGTTAGGTAAGGTCGGTGTTTTCTATGAATCTTTTTAAGGGTATCTATTATGTTTAGTATATCACCTATGCACGTAGTTAATAAGTCAATATTGACTTTACGAATTTGCGAGAACAGGTTGATCTATGACACAAACTCCAACAACAATTCAGTTAGCTTACCTGTGAGAGCGCAACAGCTTGGTGGCCCGATCTTGGGGGCGGGCCTCCTGGACTGCTCACTTTAAGCCAACGATTTTGTTTGATAGTATAGAAGAACAGGTCATTGAACATTTTTGTCTGAAAACGAACACATATATTAAGTTCAGGAAGGTACAAGTGACTAGGTACATTTTAAGGTATGGGGGGGGGGGGACTAACAGTGACTAGGGTACATTTTAAGGTATGGGGGACCAACAGTGAGGTAGCCACTGCACTGCTCTGCCACCAAATATGGCAAACCCATGATGCACAGGAAATAAATTGTTCGCAAAATTTTTTTGAGACTTCAAGACTTGTTAAATACCCTTCCCTGATCACATATAAGTTGAAATGAAATCAAAATTGTACTTACTTTGGCCGCAGTGGGGTCCAGAAAATGGCGTGTGACGTCACGGATTAGTGGTCGCCCGTGACATAGACTTCCAGAGCCAGTTGCGCGCCAACTTCAACACTGTGTTACTTGTATCACAAATGTGTCCATAAATATTGATCATATTCCCAATATTTCATGGTCATATATATACATTTATAACATATTTAGAAACTGTACACTATCACACACTATATACATTCCCTATCAACACACTCAAAACTCCACGAGTGTGTGATAATCAGAGAAGCAGTCAACGGGACATAGGGGAACTTTGCACTCAACGCACCAGGTGCAGATGCATCTTCGCTTGGGTTCCCTATATTGTGTGTTCTTGCAGACAACGCAGGCACATTTACCCTTGCTCATGATCCTGTGCCTGGCATATAACCTAGCTTGTGTACACCCAGAATTTCCTTACCCCTGAGTCTGTCAGGAACTGAGTGTGGCATTGTTGTTGGCATCATCCCTCCATCCCAAACTTCATGAGAAGTTGTGGCACTAGAGCAACACTGAACGTACATATTGGGGGTCTCTTGCCAGATTTCACGAGATACATATTGAATCAGTTCAGCACAGCAACGTCAATGAGGTGGAAAAAGAATTTCTTCGTCCATTTCACAGATTTTCACATGCCCTCGACGGCACCAAGCATCATGTCACATTTATCAATTAGTCGCATGTTTACATTGTAGTTAACCCTTAAGCGGCTAAGGGGTCCTGAAGAGATTTACACCCCTGTGCGCAAGAAAAAGGGGTGTGTTATTTCGTCTTCTAAAAATGTTAATTTGTGTTCCCTGAGCACGGGAAAAATTAAAAAATCGTAGGTCACATATTTTGGGCGCAATAGGCTGAGGAAGTCTGGCAAAATGTGGGCATAGAGAGAGCAGTCATCAGAGGCAGTCAGCATCACCTAAGCTGTCAGGTGGCAGTTGCCACAAAGATATTATAATCTAATTATTTCAATGTCTCTGATTTATTTTTTCTTAGTTTTTTGCAGTAATATTATTCAATAGTGTGTAGTGTGATAGATTTATATAATAAAATGTGTGAATCATCACTATACTCAAAAGTATGGTGTTCATAATAGTGATTCAATTATTGTGTTCATAAAACAATAAACAAATAGTTTTGCCGTTATTACACTATATACACACATTATATATAAGTATCTACAAGTTTTGTTCACCACAACTGTACAACTAAGCTGATATAGTTAGTTCAGGCACTAAGGGACATCGCTACACACACACAGTCAGCTGGCGGCTGCCTCCCTCACTCATTCAAGGTCAGGCGCACTAAAATCTCTCCCCCAACAATACTGTTTGTAATGTTATTACACTATATACACACATTATATATAAGTATCTACATGTTGTATGCACCATAACTGTACACCTTAGCTTGTAGGAAGCATAGTGGCCACCCTCTACACAGTGAGACAAATCATGCAGATGGCGCCACCTCCGTCACCCAAATGGCTCCTCCCAACATAATCCTTTTGCTGTTATTACAATTACATACACATTATATATAAGTACCTACATTTGTGTTCACCATAGAGAACCACTGAGCTGATATGGTGAATGCAGACAATAACAGGAGGCCACACAGTCAGTAAACGACGCTATCTCCCTCCCTCACTCCCTCAGCATTACTCCTCCCACACAGTCCTAATTATCAACAATCCTGCTATTATCACGATCCTGGTCATTTTTATCACAGTCAGGGGTCATCTGTAATACTGTCATCTGCTTGATACCTGCTTGATGGGGTTCTGGGAGTTCTTCTACTCCCCAAGTCCGGCCCGAGGCCAAGCTCGACTTGTGAGTTTGATCCACCAGGCTGTTGCTTGCAGCGGCCTGCAGGCCCACATACCCACCACAGCCCAGTTAATCCAGAACTTCTCTTTGAAAACAGTCCAGTTTTCTCTTGATGATGTCCACAGTTGTTCCGGCAATATTTCTTATAGTCGCTGGGAGGACGTTGAACAACCGCGGATATTATATAATATTATATGTATATTTATAATATTATACAGTATGTATATTTATAATATTATATGTATATTTATAATATTATATGTATATTTATAATATATGTATATTTATAATATATGTATATTTATAATATATGTATATTTATAATATATGTATACAGTATATTTATAGTATTACATATGTTTATTTGTTCAAGTTTATGTGGGGGGTACTTATCGCCTTGTGGAGAAATATGGTCCTTTTGGGGACCATATAGTTGACCGCTGTTTGTCCCAGGTTGGGGGAAGGATGCCACCGATTGCCAGTTACTTGATTTATACACTGATTATTTGCCTGTAATACCCTAAGGGATTTTCTGCTTTCTTCCGGCTTGCAATGCAATCCTCAGCAAAGCTTGCAATCTTGCAATCATTGCTAAATAATACCAGTTACATATTTATTTTGACATTTTTAGGCGATGCTATGGTCACAAGCTGAACAGCAATCCTGTTAGCTCATGCTGCATGCACCAGCCTTGGTGGCTCCCACAGTACTGTGGTGATGGTGCAGTTCTGTGGTTGTAAAGACACAATTGTTAGCTCAGAGAAAGGAATTCAGGTCCTTGGGGATTTGTAACATGTAATTGTAACATATGCTTTCTTGAAACTGAGGGTCCCCCATGGCCCTGGGGCATGCTGGGATTTTTTTTCTAAAATGGCGGACGATCACTGGAGCCCTCAGGCATCCATTTCGTACCCGCGTCACCATGTGTCAGTTTTAAATAGTACGCTATACCCAAGAGGTCCCTGAGGCGCGTTGCACACCACCCATCGAGAGCCTCAAGGCACGTTGCGCAGTGCAGTGACTAGGGTATATTTTCAGGTATGGAGGGAACCAACAGTGACTAGGGTATATTTTAAGGTATGGAGGGACCAACAATGAATAGGATATATTTTTAAGGTACAGAGGGACCAACAATGACAAAGGTACATTTTAAGGTATGGGGGACCAACAATTACTAAGGTACATTTTAAGGTATGGAGGAACAAACAGTGAGACATTTTAGGGTATGGGGGGGGGGGTCAAAGTGTGACCAAAGTACATTTTAGGGTATGTAAGGGGTACTGGATGTGACCAAGGTACATCTTAGGGTACGTGTGGGTACTGGATGTGACCAAGAAGGTCCAAGACACTGGATGTGACCAGAAGGCATGGCAGGATGTGCAGAATATCCCCGTTGAAGAGCAGAGGTGCAACAGGTACTCAGAGAGAACTCTATCAACATCAGAGGCCCGAGACTGTTCAACATGCTTCCGCTACACATAAGGGGCATAACTGGCCGACCCCTCACAGTGTTTAAGAGAGAACTTGACAAGCATCTCCAAAGGATACCTGATCAACCAGGCTGTGACTCATACGTCAGGCTGCGAGCAGCCACGTCCAACAGCCTGGTTGACCAGTCCAGCAATGAGGAGGTCTGGTCAACGACCGGGCCGCGGGGTCGCTGAGTCCCGGAATCCCCTCAAGGTAACCTCAAGTTAAGGTACATTATAGGTTTCGAGGGAAACCAACAGCATCAGTGTTACCATTAGGACAACTAGTCAGCCGTATAGTGCTCAGGTGCTCATCTGAGAGGGATGCAATACTGACTTTTGGGGATTACAGTTTTATAAAAATACATGTTTTTTGTTTTTGCTGTAAATTGTTCAGCATAAAATAATGGTGCATCTTCATAGTCATGTCCCATAAGCAGAGCTATCATGTTCTCTGTGCCACACACCATAGTCAAGTGCCCCAAGCAGGCCTATCATGTTCTCTGTGCCACACACTATAGTCAAGTACCCCAAGTAGGCCTATCATGTTCTCTGTGCCACACACCATAGTCAAGTACCCCAAGCAGGGTTCTCATGTTCTCTGTGTCACACAACAACTCAATAATAAACAGGTACAACCTCGATTCAACGTACTATATGGGACCAACCCCAGTGCGTTGGAGCGTTGGATGCGTTGCAAGAGGTGACCTTCAGGAGGTGTTTGCATCAGTGTCTTTTTTTTCTTGTACACAATAAAAATGCATTATCACATAATATACGGTACCTATATATTATTATTCTACTAAAAAATACTGTGTTACATTTGTTATTTACCTTACTGTTGGAGTTATGTCCATCTTGAAATCTCATGGAGTTGTAAATGCTGTACAGTAAATACGTACTGCAGTGTATTATACCATTAGCACTGTGTTGATTAACCCTTAACATGCTCGGGGTTTAATATCCTGCCATCCCCACAGGCGCAGGTCATTTTGAAAAAAAAAAATTATTTTTTCTTTCTAACCTGTTAATTTGTGTTCACTGATCACGGGAAAAATAATAAAAAAATCGTAAGTGGCATATATTGCCCGCTATAGGGCTGGGAAGTCTGGCAAATTATAGGCGCTGACTCAGCGTGCGTCCCAGGTGGTCTGTTGCTCGCAAGCTGTCAGGCCAGAGTTGCCACAAAGAGATAATTACCGAATTATTTCAATGTCTCTGATTGATTTTTCATACTTTTTTTGCTGTAATATTATTCAATAGTGTGTAGTTTGATATATTTATATAATAAAATGAGTGAATCGTTGGTGTACTCAAAAATATGGTGTGCATATTGTTGATTCAATTATGTTCATCAATCAGTGAACAAATACTTTGTCGGTTATTACACTATAAGCACAGGTTATATATAAGTAT